ACAAGGCGGTAGCCCTTTGTGCCGTTTGTCGAGGTAGTCGAGAGCGTAGAGTGTTGTAGCCGTGGTCGAGGTAGCCGTGCGAAGAACGCCATGGTCGATATCGAGTCGGGGTGGCCGGTGTCGAGGAAGTTGCCATGGAGCCGCGGGCGCAAGGAGGCGCCGAGTCAGTCATAGGCACAATGGTGTCGAAGTAGTGTTGCGCCGGGAAGAAGACGTTGTTGACGAGACGTCGTGCTGGGTTTGTCAAGCCCGGGGACACGTCGTGAACGAAGGCACGCGTCGGTGTTGCCAGCATCGAGCATGCGTAGATACTCGAAGTCGATGTTGACGATGCACCACTCCAGGCTTGCTAGGCTTGGGAACACATCGGAGACGAAGGCACCCGTCGGTATTGCCAGCACTGGACATGCGTAGATGTGGACCTACACGAGTTGTACGACATGTCGGAGGAGTCAGAGGGACCAAAAGATGAGGACTAGAGGATGGTTGCGACACCAATCGACGTGGGGCCGATGTCGCCAACGGTGGTCGGGGAAGATGACGATGATGCTGGCGATGAGATGGTGCTGGACGAAGACGAAGGGGGTGGACGGACGGCACGACTCGGGTGAGCGAGCGGCAGCGGCGTCGAAGAAGAGCGCGACCGCGGCCTGACGATGGCGGTGGCGGCTTGGTTAGGTGCGCGGCGGCAATGCTCGAAGTAGGCGAGTAAAAACCCAACAATGTGACAAAGACCGGCGGGGACAATGGCATTCCCGCGCCAAGGGAGGCGGCACGGCACATACCACGTGGAAGTTAACACGCGGGGACGGCGGAGTGAACCACGGTCTGCGGTGCTACGGCCCGAAGGGGCGATGCAGGGGCAACATGCGGTTGGGGCGACGACAGGAAGACCTTGGGGCGGCGGCGTGGACTACGTGCCACGGCGCTACGACCCTAAGTGGCGGCGCAGCGGCAGTGTGTGGGTCGATGTAGCCACAGGGACGACCTCCGGCGACAGCAGGGACCGCCGGCCACGGAGCTACGACCGAAGGGGCGACGCAGCGGCGGTGCATGAGTCAATATAGCTATGGGAGAACCACGGGGCGACACAGCGGTAACCCGTTGCTCGATCGGTGTAGGTGCGCGTTGTACTCAGGACGGTCTTCATGGGACCTGCGGAGGCGCGCGCAACCAACGGGCCAGATCGGTCTCACGGCATAGATGAGGCGGATCACGGGCGGGCAGGGGACGTCGCTCGGTGGAGTCGGAGTGGCGACGGAGTTCAAGATGAAGCCACCGACGACGGTCAGCGTGGAACGACGTGTGGACGAGCGCAACTGGCCCGAGGCAGTCAGTGAGCCCGACGCAGCCGCCAGCCGCCAAGACAGACGGTAGGGCGGCCGTACTGACACGACGGAGGCAGGTGGTGATGGAGAAGTCCCGGTCGAAGCAGGGCGGCGACAGCCGGCACAAGATGATGGGCGGGCAGACGCGCGGACGACGGCCTTGACAGGCCGCTGCGTCGCGCGAGGCCGCCAGGTCAAAGTAGACGCCGGGTGGTTGCACGGGTCGAAGTAGAGGCATTGGGTCGACGGCGGGGGTAGGTGATGCAAACCGATATTAGATTGAACCAAAAAAAACGCCGATCAAGATGACCGGCGGGAGAGAGAAAACCCGAATCAAAGTATTGAGAAAAATACTCTCTAGGGCAGCCGATCAACACGATCGGTGAACGAACCCTAGGTATGAGCGGCATGGCTCCTGGTGGCGTTCATGGGACCGACATCCCCGGGGGCGGCGCGGAGCGGAAACAGTGACGACGGCTAGGGTTTGGATCGTTTAGGCTGATACCATGTTAGAAGAGACAGAGAAGGATTGATGGAATCGATGTTTATTGCTTGAGCCTCGTAAGCATATATAGAAGTAATGGTTTTTTAATACAAAATAAGACAAAATAATTTCTAGTCTATTCTATATTTTTAATCTAATCACAATACTCAACACAGACCAAATGTCAGGCACATCGCCAGGCATGGCCATGGAAGCAGCCTGATGCAACAATACAATACAAAGCAAACACATAAATTTCTCTCTCTACGCCATCGCAAAATGAACATACACCGACATGAATTGACTCTAATTTATTGAAAAAAGTTAACGCTCAACATTGCGGTGTTATAAATATGGGATATACCAAGTATACGGATGACCCACCATAGATCCATGACTCGTACAAGATACGGCCAGAAGATCATGGGCCAAGGGGCTTCGTCATCAACCCATTAAAGATAAAGAGTGTGGCTTACGCACTAACCGGTGTACACATGAGTTATAATCCCTGAAGATTTGACTTAACCGACGAAAGATGACCCCAAAAATGTATTTCTTCAAGTGAAGAATTTGATGCGTTCTTTGAAGAAATGAAGTGAAGAATCGGAGCTTGAAGACTTTGTTTTCATAGTTTCTATCTTCTTTATTTGAGTCGTAGGAAACACTGTACTGTTAAAGAGGGTCTAGGTGATACATAGACATATTTTCAAAGTGATGCTCAAAAGCCTACAACTACCTAATTCTTCGAGTTGAAGACTTTGGAAATCTCTTGCAGTGCAGTCGAGTTCTTCAGCGACAGAGATGAAGTGCTACTTCTTAAGCTTGCGTTGGTTTTTCCCTTGAAGAGGAAAGAGTGATGCAGCAAAGTAGAGGTAAATATTTCCCTCAGTGAAGTACTAAGGTATCAATCCAGTAGGAGGAACACACTAGTCTCCAATAATTGCACCTGCACAAACAAACAAATATTTGCACCCAACATGATAAATGGGTTGTCAATCCCTTCACGCTTACTTGCAAGGATGAGATTTGATAGTGATAGATATAAAGGATAAGTAAAAATGTAAAATAAAATAAAAGTAAATAAATTGCAGCAAGCTATTTTTGTGTTTCTGATTTTATAGATCTGAAAATAATATGATAAAAGATAGACCCGAGGGCCATAGTTTTCACTAGAGGCTTCTCTCTTAAAAGGAATCATACAGTATGTAAACAAATTACTGTTGAGCAATTGATAAAAATACATAGTTATGAAGATATACAAGGCAATGATCATGCATATAGGGATCACATCCGAGACAAATAGATCGACTCTTGCTTGCATCTACTATTATTACTCCACATATCGACCGCTATCTAGCATGCATCTAGTATATTAAGTTAACAAGAATGGAGTAACACCTTAAGCAAGATGATATGATGTAGAGGGATAGATCCAATCAATATGAACAAACCCCATTTTTTATCTTTAATGGCAACAATACAAATACGTGTCATGTCCCTTTCTGTCACTGTGATTGAGCACCGCAAGATTGAACCCATTACAAAGCACCTCTCCCATTGTAAGAAAAATCAATCTAGTTGGCCATACCAAATCAATAGATCGGGGAGAAATACAAAGCTATATAAATTATGCATAAAAGAGTTCAGAGAAGACAAATAATATTCATAGATAATCTGATCATAAATCCACAATTCATCGGATCTCAACAAACGCACCACAAAAGAAGATGACATCAAATAGATCTTCAAGAACATCGAGGAGAACATTGTATTAAAGATCAAAGAGAGAGAATAAGCATCTAGCTACTAGCTATGGACCGTAGGTCTGTGGTAAACTACTCAGACATCATCGAAAGGGCAACAAGGTTGATGTAGAAGCCCTCCGTGATCGAACCCCCCTCTGACGGAGTACTAGAAAAGGTCCCCAGATGGGATCTCATGAAGATAGAAACTTGCAGCGGCAGAAAAGTATTTTTGGTGTGCCCTCTTGTCTTCGTAGAATATTTGATTTATAGAAGAAGAATTAGGGTTGGAGGATCTACGAGGGGCCCACAAGCTTGGAGGATGCACCCCCCGGGGCGCCCCCTGAGCTTGTTGCCGCCTCGTGGCCCTTCTGGCCTTCTCCCAAAGCTTCCAGGGTGTCTTGTGGTCCAAGAAAAATCATCAAAAAGTTTCGTTCCATTTGCTATTGATTTTCTATAAACACAAAAACAAGGAAAAAACAACAACTAGCACTGGGCACTAGGTTAATAG